GCTGGCCTGGTCAGATCGAGGAGCAGTTGGCTTGAACAAGACTCTGAGGCTGGCCCGGCCCAGTCTAGGAGGAGCTGGCTTGGACAGGGATCTTTGAGTCTGGGCCTCATCGTTCCAGATGGCGCTGGCTTGGACAGGGCTCAAAAAGCTGTCCCTGGTCTCATCCAGCAGGAGCTGGCTTGGACAGGGCTCTGTGAAGCAGGCCCGGTCTGGTCCAGGAGAAGCTGGCTTGGACAAGACTCTGTGAGACTGGCCCAGGCCTGTCCAGGTAGCTCTGGATTGGACAGGACTCTCTGAGCCTGTCCTGCTCCGCTTCAGGTGGAGCTGGCTTGGACAGGACTCTGTGAGTCTGGTGCAGGCTGGTCCAGGTGGCACTGGCTTGGACAAGGCTTCTGAGGCTGGCCTGGTCAGGTCGAGGAGCAGCTGGCTTGGACAAGACTCTATGAAGCTGGCCTGGCCCAGTTTAGGAGGAGCTGGCTAGGACAGGGCTCTTTGAGGCTGGCTTGGACTGGACTCTGTTAGCCAGGCCTGGGCCGGTCCAGGTGGTGCTGGCTTGGACAAGGCTCTGTGAGTCTGGACCATACCAGTCATGGGGGAGCTGCCTTGGTCAGGGCTCTGTGAGCCTGGCACAGGCCAGTGCATGTGGCACTGGCTTGGACAGGGCTCTATGAGGCTGGTCTGGTCTGGTCTAGGAATAGCTGGCTTGGACAAGGCTCTGTTAGGCTGACCCATTCCAGTCCAGGAGGACCTTGCTTGAACAGGGTTCTGTGAGGCTGGCCCAGGCCGGTCCAGGTGGCCCTGGCTTGTACAGGACTCTGTTAGCCTGCCCCGGCCAGGTTTAGATGCTGCTGTCTTGGACAGGGCTCGTGAGGCTGGCCCCAGGCTGGTCCAGGAGGATCTGTCTTGGACAGGGCTCTGGGAACCTGGCCCAGGCCAGTCCAGGTGGTGCTGCTTGGACATGGATCTGTGAGGTTGGTGTAGGCTGGTCCAGGTGGCGCTGACTTAAACAAGGCTCTGTGAGGCTTTACCTGGCCAGTCTAGGAGGAGCTGCCTTAGACAAGGCTCTGTGAGGCTGGCCCGGGCCAGTCCAGGCGGGGCTGTTTGGACAGGGCTCCGAGAGCCTGGCCTGGTCCAGTCCAGGAGGAGCTAGCTTGGACAGGGCTCTGTGAGTCTGGCCACAGCTGGTCCAGGAGGAGCGGGCTTGGACAGGGCTCCGAGAGCCTGGCCTGATCCAGTCCAGGGGGTGCTGGCTTGGACAGGACTTTGTGAGCCTTGCCCGAGCAGGTCCAGGCAATGCTGGCGTGGACTGGGCTCTGTGAGGCTGGTGCAGGTGGCATTGGCTTGGGCAGGGCTCTATGAGGCTGGCCTGGGCCGGTCCAGGAGGTGCTGGCTTGGATAGGGCTCTATGAGCTTGGCCCACGTTGGTCCAGGTGGCGCTGGCTTGGACAGGGCTCTGTGAGCCTGGCCTGCACCAGTCCAGGCAGTGCTGGTTTGGACAGGGCTCGGTGAGTCTGGCCCAGTCCGGTCCAGGAGGATCTGGCGTGGACAAGGCTCTGTGAGGCTGGACCGGGCCAGTCTTGGAGGAGCTGTCTTGGACAGGGCTCTGTGAGCATGGCACAGGCCAGTCCCCATGGCGCTGGCTTGGACAAGGCTCTGTAAGGCTGGCCTGGGCCGGTCCAGGTGGCACTAGCTTAGACAGGACTCTGTGAACCTGGCCTGGGCCTGTCTAGGCAGTGCAAGTTTGGACAGGGCTCCATGATTCTAGCCATGGCCGGTCCAGGAGGAACTGGCTTGGACAGGGCTCTGTGAGGCTGGCCCGTGGCGATCCAAGTGGTGTTGGCTCGGATAGGACTCTGTGAACTGGCCTGGTCTGGTCCAGGTGGCACTGGCTTTTACAGGACTCTGTTAGCATGGCCCGGGCTGTATCAGGCGGTGCTGGCTTGGACAAGGTTCTGTGAGCCTGGCCTGTGCAGTTCCTGGTGGAGCTGGCTTGGACAGGGCTCTTGAAGTTGGCCCAGGACTGGTCCAGGTGGTGCTGGCTTGGACAGGGTTCTGTGAGCCTAGCAGAGGCCAGTCTAGGTGGCGCTGGCTTGGACAGGGCTCTGTTAGGCTGGCTGGTCCAGTCCAGGAGGAGCTGGCTTAGACAAGTCTCTGTGAGGCTGGACTGGGACAGTCTAGGAGGTGGTGGCTTGGACAGGGCTCTGTGAGGCTGTCCCACGCTGATCCTGGTGGTGTTGGCTTGGAAAGGACTGTTAGCCTGGCCCGGGCCAGACCAAGAGGAGCTGGCTTAGACAAGTCTCTGTGAGGCTGGACCGGGCCAGTGTAGGAGGAGCTGGCTTCGACAAAGTTCTGTGAGCCTGGCCTGCGCTGGTCCATGTGGGGCTGTCTTGGACAGGGCTCCTGAGGCTGGCCCCGGGCTGGTCCAGGAGGAGCTGGCTTGGACAGGGCTCTGTGAGGCTGTCCCAGGCCAGGCCCGTGTCGGTCCAGGCAGCGCTGGCTTGGTTAGGGCTCATGAGGCTGGCCCCAGGCTGATCCAGGCTGCCCTGTCTTGGACAAGGCTCTGTGAGCCTGGCCCATGCCAGGCCAGGCAGTGCTGGCTTAAGACAGGGCTCGGTGAGTCTGGCCTGGTGTGGTCCACATGTCGCTGGCTTGGACAGGGCTCCGTGAGCCTGGCCCGGGCCAGTCCAGGAGGAGCTGGCTTGTACAGGGCTCTGTGAGGCTGGCCTGGTCCAGTCCAGGAGCAGCTGGCTTGGACAGGACTCTGTGAGGTTGGCCCATGCCAGTCCAGGCGGCACTGGCTTGGACAGGGCTCTGTGAGCCTGGCCTGGGCCAGTCTAAGAGGAGCTGCCTTGGACAGGGCTTTGTGAGCCTGGCACAGGCCAGTCCAGGTGGCACTGGCTTGGACAGAGCTCTGTGAGGCTGGTCCGGTCCGGTCCAGTAGGAGCTGGCTTGAACAAGGCTCTGTGAGGCTAGACTGGGCCAGTCTAGGAGGAACTGGCTTGGAAAAGGATCTGTGAGGCTGGCCAGGCTGGTCCAGGTGGCGTTGGCTTGGACACGACTCTGTTAGCCTGGCCCATGCAGGTCCAGGGGTTGCTGGCTTGGGAAGGGATCGTGAGGCTGGTCGCTGGCTGGTCCAGGAGGAGCTGGCTTGGACAGGGCTCTGTGAGCCTGGCCCCAGCCAGTCCAAGTGGCACTGGCTTGGACAGGACTCTATCAGCCTGTCCTGGGCCGGTCCAGGCGGTGCTGGTTTGGACAGAGCTCTGTGAGTCTGGCCACAGCCAGTCCAGGAAGACTGTCTTGGACAGGGCTCTCTGAGCCTGGCCCGAATCAGTCCAGGTGATTGCTATCTTGGACGGGGCTCTGTGAACCTGGCCCAGGCCGGTCCAAGCAGCCCTGGCTTGGACAGAGCTCTGTGAGGCTGGCCCTGAGCTGGTCCTAGCAGTGCTGGCTTGCACAGGATTCTGTGAGGCTGGTGCAGGCCGGTCCAGGTGGCGCTGGCTTGGATAGGACTCTGTTAGGCTGGCCAGGTCCAGTCTAGGAGTAGCTGGCTTGGAGAGGGCTCTATGAGGCTGGCCCGGGATGGTCCAGGCAGTGCGGGCTTGGACAGGACTCTCTGAGCCTGGCCCGGGCTGGTCCAGATTGAACCACATAACCAGCTCTGCTTTTTGCTGGCTATTTTGGAGTGCAAGCCCTGTAGAGTTTTCTGCCCCAGCTTGCTTTGAACTGTGATCTTCTGGATCTCAGGCTTTTAAGTAGTTAGGATTCCAAACCGGTTGGATTCAGTTTATTTTAAAGAAAGTGCTCAGCCAGTAGTTCATGCCTGTAATCCTAGCTACTCAGGAGGCTGAGATCTGAGGATCACGGTTCAAAGCCAGCCCGGGCAGGAAAGTCCATGAGACTCATCTCCAATACACCACTAGAAAACCAGAAGTGGTGCTGTGGCTCAAGTGGTAGAGCACTGGCCTTGAGCTGAAGAGCACAGGGACAGTGCCCAAGCCCAGAGTTCAAG